CTTGAGTCCTGGCTTCACTTTTTAATTGAGCAAGTTATGCACCCTCTCATAACCTTGTCTTTCCTATTAAAATAGTAAGGGTAATAGTCCTAAGTACTTCATAAGGCTTTGAGGATTCAGTAAGATAGGACATATAAATCGCATTCCCAGTCCTAGACATGTTGTTGTTGTTGTTAAGTGCCATTAAGTCGATTCCGACTCATTAAGAACCTTTGTGGGTTTTCAGAGGAGTAGCTGGTGGGTTTGAACTGCCAGCCTTGTGGTTCTCAGTCTAGTGCTGATCCTAGAGTTGCCATCTGCTGTGATTATTGTAGTTATCACTGCTATTAGTTCTGTAATTAGAGCTAGGAGTCCTGGTGTGGCACTCTAGGAGAAGCACTGGACCTCAAGGTCAGTTTGAATCACAAGGTCGGTGGTTCAAACCCACCAATTGCTTCTGGGAAAACTCTACACAGGCTTGCTGTAAGTCAGAACCGATTTCAAAACACTTAAAAACCGCAACAATTTGAGCTAAAATAGGAGGTTTTCATTATTTTCTCCCAGCCTGCATTTGTATTGGGTATTTATCTGGAGTCCTAGTGTGGCACTGTAGGATCAGCACTGGACTGCTAACTGCAAGATAGGCAGTTCAAACCCAGCAGTCACTCCTTGGAAACCTTATACAGGGTCGCTATGAGTTGTAACTGTGGCACTTAACACCAACTGGTTACTGTGACTTGTCCTAATTAAAAAACACCTCTTCACATTTTGTTTTATTTAAAATAAGCTAAGGACACCTTTAACATTTGGAGCTGAATGATTATTACTAACAAAGTCAGAACTGACTTGATAGCACTTAACAACAACAATAACAATGAATTATTATAATACGTTTCTGAAATTAACGACAGTAACCATTGATGTCTAACTGTGCTGGGTACTAAGTGAGAAGAGATAGGACTGATTCATAAGATTCAGGCTATAGAGCCATCTAGAACTTTTTACAATGTGTCAGCAGTCTGTTTGTTTCCATTCTGCTTGTTCTGTTTCTGTTAATCTAGCTTCCCGTCCTCTCTTTGCCTCCTTATTTTTGTTGTTCGTTAAATGTTAACTACTTGGTTTCATTTAGTTGATTGTTTAAGGGGGCACCTGTCACTCACAGGTGATACTATTGATCTTACAAGCCAATCTATTATTTGGTGACCTGCAAAAATAGCTTTGACTTCAGTCAAATGGAATCTTAGTCTGAGAGTCTCAGGGGGTTCTCTGCTGTCTATCAGTCCACATGGCCTTTTTTAGGAATGTGAATTTTGTTTAAAATTTTTCTCCCATTCTGTTCAGGACTTTGCATTGTGTCTCTGTTCAGAACAATTGCTATTGATAGCTGGGCACCATCTAGTTCTTCTGATAATCAGGCTAATAAAAAGCCTGAGAATTTGCTTTTTTAATAAGGTCCCGAATGACATAATACTGCTAGTCACTTACTGCATGTTGAGAACTGCTAGATTTGATCATCTCTAATCCCAACTCTTTGATGGTATGTCTTTCCTTATTTACCTTGTCTCTTGGCTTATTTCAACTGCTCCTGGGTTAACATTTAATATTTAAGGTGCCCAACAGAGTCCTGGTGTGGTACTGTGGGCCAGTGCGCTGAACTGCAAAGTCAGCTTGAACCATAAGGTTGGCAGTTCAAGCTCACCAACTGCTCCTTGGAAACCCTACATAGGGTCGCTATGAGTTAGAACTGACTCAGTGGCACTTAACAACAACAACATACGTACCTTGTAAAATGTGACAGACAGAAGAGAGTTTCCTTAAATTCTACAGCTCATATGCTGCAGAATAATGCACTGGATTATAAGGTCGGTGTGAACTGCAAACCCATCAGCCGCTCCACAGGTCACTATGTGTCAAAACTGACTAGGCAGCACTAAACAACAGCTATTCTTTAGATTAAAAAAGAACCTAGCTAGTTTACCTAGGCATCTCATGTCCATTTCTAGTTACAAAGGAAATATTTTCAGACACCAAACTTCAAGAGTTAAACTCTGATTCTCTCATTCTTAACTGACATTGCCTTCTGATCTGTATTGCTTGGTAACTAATACAAAAATAAAATTATGTTTTTATTCTGGAATTACATTAAATGAATAATACTTAAGAACCTATATGATGACTTCAAGTGAGTCTGTAATAAAACTCCTCTTCTTGTTTTTCATGATCTTGTAGATATCCAGAATGGGATAATTATCTGTGAGGCATGGTATTTGCTAAGAACATGGCACACCTCTGCTTTCCAAACTAAATTATTTCATTGGCTCAAGTTTTCTGGTTTGAAGTGGAGTCATGGCTAAGAGCCACACTTCTTGTGTTCTTAGTAATTTGAAAATTTTCTAGTTATTAAATATGCAAACTATATAAGAAAAGAACAAGTAACCAACATTTACTGAGCTCTTATTATGTGCCAGGCACGGTGCCATCTGTAGTTTTATTGTCCACTTAGTACTCGTAATAACGATGTAAGATTATCATTAGTTTTAGCTTTTCTGCGTGGAATATAGACTCACCAAGGTTAAGTAACTGTTTGAGGTCACAAATGGTAGTGTATGGATTTGAGCTCAGATTTGTTTGACAACAAAGTCTTTGAAGAAACAAAGGTTCTCAAAAGTAGGTGTTAAATGAATGAACATAAGATTGACTATATAATACTACCTTCTTAACGCTGACCTTTAAAAACAATCACCCAATTATAATAAAGTTAGGCTCTTGTAGGTCATTATCTAAACAGGCTCTTCATAATGTTATTTCCTTTAAAGCATCTCTAAATCAGGACATATACAGCCTTCACTTGACCCAGGTATGTAAAGAAAGGACACTCACTGCCTTTTCAATCCGAGTGATTTTTGGATAATTCATTAATGAAACATTCTTTTTTACTTTGAACTCCCCAAGTAATTCCTGTCTACTGAGACTAATTTCTGCCTTATGTAACCACTCAAACTTAGCTTGATATTCCTTCCACATATCATTTCTTCAAATATTTGAAGACAACCCTTATATCTTCTCTATTCCATGCTAAATACCACCCATTTTCCCAATTACTTCCTAAGAACCATAATACAAAGTAGTAACAAGTAAACATTTGTTAAATGGAACAGGGGATTAATTTGTAAATAAAGTGAGGCCCAGGCTCTTCACCTTTCTCTTGTCCTTTAGAGTGTGAAGCATCTACACTAGGTTCTATACAATGCTAGACCCTGTTTTCTTTTAGAAGAAACTGAAATGATCTTGGATGCACTCTTGCATGAAACAATTGTCACCCCAAAGCATATTGTTCTTTATTTCCTGACAGAACATTTAGCTCGTCTTTGACGTCTCAGGTTTGCATCAGATCACTACAAGCTGGAATCATGCAACAATCCCAGTGCATTTCTTTAGGGTTTAAGGCAAGACCTAGGCACTAGGGGATCAGCTCCAATTTAAGCAGGCTAAGTTTGTACTCTAATGTACAAAACTAGGGCTTACCTCAGCTAAAATGAAAGAAATAGCTGCCCAAAGCTAGTTTCTTTCACGCCCCACTGGCGAGGTAGTAATTGCACAAAGACCTTTTTATTATAAGTTGATTTTCCTGAGAAATGAATTCAGAAAAATACTGTAAAGTGTTTATTTTTTGCTTGCCCTTTATTAACCCACATCTTAGGGCTTTCCCCAGAGAAAAGCTGTTGGTAAATGAAACCTCTTAGGCCCACATAGAAGCATTCTTGCAATATGTCCCTGGCTGCGGAGGGAACAGGGACAGACAGAGCAAGGCAAGGTGTTGCTATTTAAACAGGGTCATAAGCCAGATATGGAATTTTGCCTAAAGAGAAGATTTAGGAATTTAAACAGGAGAAAGGTTTTGGGTCAGTAGAATTACTGGTAAAGGTTTATGTCTGAAAAAGGATAAAAAGCAGCTCTTTTATGCTAGTACACAGGCCAGAAACACTGTTTGAACTTACAGGTAATTCTTTTTGTATATTCTGCTTTTAATCTTTAAATAAGAAAACTCTTGATAGTTCCACCTATAAAATTATGCTATAAAAGGAAATAAATAAACAAAACAAAAAAACCATCCTGTAATGCTATCCTGGAATCAGGGCAGAAGGCATAGAGTACAGAAGAGAGCTAGGAAATTAAAATGTGATTTTCACAGGCATGATTCTGTCATAGCTCTTATTTTCTTTATATGGAATACAAATACTGATATAGAGTGAAGATTTTCTATTTTGCATTTTTGTGCTCTTTGATACATTTATTGAGGTCAAATGACATTTGATATAGGAGGATTTATTATGAAATGTTCTCTGACTACAACTCCATAATTACGGAGCTACAAGGTAGTCCATAAAGCTGTAAAACTGCTTAGCCAGACAGGCAATTTATATGTTACATCGAGGTGTGTATGGCAAAGAATATTAGTTTAATTGGGAGCCAAGATGTAGTAGCCTTAAATCTGAACAGCTCTATGTTTAACATAATGCAGTGGGGCTTTGAAATAGACTACCTGAACTGGAGAGATACAGCGTTTGGAATATATAACAACAATTAGATAATATTTTTTGACCAAGGATACTAAATAATATTTTCAAAATAAAACACAGACTGTGGAGCAGGTGAAAGGGCAAAACCTTCCAGCATTGTGCAATACAAGAAAAGATGCAGACTTATTGATCTCTCTAGTTCTTTGTTAACAACACAGAAACAAAAGGGGAAAAAATGGTGGGGGAGTGAAGAACACCATTAACTACAGTTTGGTAGAAACAGGAATGAGTCAAATGCACAGTCAAGTCATGTCCCCCGTGTGCGAATGGGACCTAGGAAAAAGGGTTTGGTGGAATTTGTCTGAATTCTCTCAGGGCACGATATGGAATGAGGTTGGAATTGAGTGGTTATGTGGGTACCAGTATACCACCAGTGGTGAAAACAGATACTTGGCATACGTTTGCTCTCTGTCTGATCATAGGCTCTCTTCTGTTTAGCAGGTTCAGGGTCACATGCCTCCGCTTATGATCCCAATTTTTCCACATGACCAGCGGACCCTGGCAGCAGCTGCTGCGGCCCAACAGGGATTCCTCTTCCCTCCTGGAATAACATACAAACCAGGTAAGTAGAGAGGGATTCCACAGTCTTTGGGAAATGCTACGAGCCACATGTCATCCTCAGTAGTCACAACAAACACAGGTGTATGCAAGGGAATTATGAATAAAAGGATCACTAAAGTTTATTTTAAAGTACAATTACAATTTGGGTAAGGGGCAAAGTAATAAACCAGTTGGATGCTAAAGACTTTTGTTTTTTCTTTTCCACTTGTATTTGTTCTGAATTTACAGATGAGTTGCCACTTTCCCTAGGGATTACAGCATTTTTGTCAATTCTTTCTCATACCTTTCCATGGATAATTACCATTGGGTGAAGAGCCTTTCTTCCTCCTGACAGCATTTTGCCCTGAGAGACTGGTCACATACAGTGTAAAATGCTGTCATTGTTTGTTGTCTGATTTCTCTTGAGGAAAAAAAAAAAAGTACAAACTGGGTTGATTTAATTAGCTTACCACTAATATGTAAAATTCTTTGGATTTTAGTGTAAATAATGAAGCATTCAGCAACATTTTCTCATTCATCTTTCAACCTCTCCTTTCCCTCCCCCTTCAAAAAAAAACAGGTCACATAACCTTGCAGTAAGATATGTTTTGAAATGATTTACCAAATGTTATGAATTTTCTTTATTCCTCTGAGTTTACTGGACTCCTGGGGAATTCAATTAGAGCCGTAATGGTTTGAAGCTTCTTTCAGAGCCTCCTTGTAAACAGCGTTTTAAATGTTTAAAGATATGTTGCCAAAGGAATCCAATGTAAGAAGATAGTCAAGTAAATAAAAGTCAACCTTAATTTCATTTGTGCATTCTTTGCACATGACCTAAGCTCAGAAGTAGTGACCTTGTTCTACTCATTAATAATTTTTGTGTCAAGTTCTTTCCAACATATTAACCTGATTACATTAACTACTGAATGTGCATGCAGTAGTTTCTTTAAGTTATGGGCTTTACAAAGTGAACAAAGGCATTTTATTTAATATGCTTAAATAAATAACAGAATATAAATCACTTGACTAAAATTCTGTTCAGAACGCTTGCTAAAAAGCATAAAAACAACCCTACTGGGGTTGGCCTCTATGAGACTACTTTTTACCATTGTTCATTTTCTACATTGGTGGAGAACTCTTATCCTTGTGAGGAAACAATGTGTCTGTGGCAAAACCCAAATGATTTAAGGAATAAGATGTTAAGAGATTGGCTTTGGGGTACCTGAGTGAAAAAAAAAAATGTGCTTATCAAATTGCTGAAAATTCCTTTTTTTTTTTTTTTTAGAGTGGACTCTTTAGAGCCACTTACACTGCTATGAAACTGGTGTCCAAGTTAAGGACAGGTGTGCATTTTGCCAGAGGAAATCTTTTTGTCACTTTAGTACTTCAGACTTGCCTTAACCTTAGTAACTATTTCTTCATCGTGATTTCCCTTGGAACATAGGCATTCACGAAATGTACTGGTTTGGTCCGTGTCCGAGTTACCATTCCTGTACAAGTCTTACAAACCTTCTAAATGAACTGTCTGTGGAAACTTCATTTTATTTCAGTGTTTGCAAACTTAAAATTCTTCAAATTTCAGATCAGATATCAGTCTTGTTTTCTCTTGTTGTTATGTGCTGTTGAGTGAGTTCCAACTCAGATCAACCCTGTATAGGGTTTCTGAGGAGCGGCTTCTGGGTCTGAACAACCGACTTTGTAGCTAGCCTGCCTGAGTTTAGCCTACAGGCCACACCAGGACTCGTTATGTGACCTCGACATTTTAAGACTATATTGTTGCCCTAATTTTGTTAAGAAGTCCTAGTATGGCACTCTAAGATAAGTACAGGACCTCACGATATGTGGTTCAAATCCACTAGCCACTCCTCAGACACCCTATACAGGGTCACTGTGAGTTGGAACAGACTTGACAGCAGCTAACAACAGCAACAATGTTGTTATCACAGTGTTGTCATTTTCAAATAATTATTTTTAGGCTCACTTTTTTAAAGTCTCTCAAACAGCATTAATGAGATTGTAACTGAGAAGGATGTGGAGATTGGTAGTGAATTGTACAGGAGCAAATTACCTCCATGGACAAGAGATGCAACATAGAGTTGTAGTTGTTGTTGTTAAGTTTCGTCACATTGGTTCTGACTCATAGCAACCCTGTATAGGCTTTCTGAGGAGCAGCTGACAGTGGATTTGAACTGCTGATCTTGTGGTTCACAGTCCAGTGTTGGATCCTGTAGTGCCACACCAGGAGTCCATAAAGTAGTATGCTGAGTTAGAAAAGTTATGTTTATAAATGTTGGCTAAACTTTGTTGGCTAAGGCAGGACACTGGCTTGGGATATGTAGGAAGATGTTTAATCACAAGCTAGGGTGGTACAAGAAGTTATTTTCTGATGATCCCTGAGTTATATCAGATCATTTAATTAATCAGAACTCTCAATTTAAAAAATATTTTGGTTAATGTAGGATTTATTGTATCTCAAAATTATGCTTAAAATGGATTAAACTAGTATTTTTTACTCTAATAGTTGAGAAATTGCTGATTTAAAAGACTTACTCTTGCAGTGTTGCTTTGTTATGCACGTGACCTGGAGAGAGAAGATTACCACTACATTAGAGTCCAGACTACAGAGACATTGTTCCCCAAACTGAGTTTCAGTAACGTCACCTGAATACATATGCGATACTTACTAAATTTTTACAAGAGAGTAACTTTGTCACATATAAAATCCTTGAAAATGTGCCATAAATTTTTATTCTGGTTCCCTAAGCAAAGAGCTCTGGTAGTGTAGAGGGCTATGAATTGGGCTGCTAACTGCAAGGATCAGCAGTTCGAATCTACCAGCTGTTCCATGGGAGAGAGATACATTTATCTGTTCCTGTAAAGATTTACAGCATTGGAAACATTATACAGGGTCTCTGTGAGTTGGAACTGACTCCATGGCACACAACCAACCAAACCAATCAAAATATCGTGACCAATAAATAACATCATGATAATGGAGAAAAGATTGACGTTTTCAGGGACTTCATTTTGCTGGGATCTGCCATCAACACTATAGAAGCAGCTGTCAAGAAATCAAATGACATATTGCGTTAGGCAAATCTGCTGCACAAGACCTCTTTAAAGTGTTCAAGGGAAAAGATGTCAGCTTGAGGACTAAGGTGAGCCTAATTCAAGCCACAGTATTTTCAGTTGCCTCACATGCATATAAAAGTTGGACAGTGAATAAGGAAGATAGTAGAAGAATCGATGCATTTGAATTACGATGTTGATTAAAATACCACGGACTGCTAGAAGAACAAGCAAACCTGTCTTGGAAGAAGTACAGACACAATGCTCCTTAGATATTCTCACTGGCGTTTGGACATTTTGTCAGGAGGAATCAGTCCCTAGAGAAGGACATCATGCTTGGTAAAATGGACGATTAGTGAAATAGTGAAAGACCTCCCAGTAGATGGACTGACTCAGTGGCCGCAACAGTGGGCTCAAACATAACAATTATGAGGATGGCGCATGACTAGGCTGTGTTTTGCTCTGTTGTGCGTAGGATTGCTATGAGTTGGAACTAACTCAATAGCATCTAACAGCAATAACAACAAACAAGAAAATGAGCAGGCACTACCTTGAATTTCATAAATTAAAAAAATAAATGGCCCTCCGTAAACAAATTCTCCCCCTCTTTATGGATCCCTTTCCACCTTCCTCATAACCTGAAGTAATGCTAGAGTGTTTATGACCTCATCTAAATAAGTAATCATTTTGATTTGAGAGAGCAAAAACTCCCTTGGGGATGATGTTCGGTGTCCTTTAAAGTTGACTATTTCCAAACCCATAGTCACAACTACACCAGTTTTCATAGTCATCTTTGATAAGGGCCTTCACTCTCCTTCAGGCATTTTAAAATCCCAGTATGCAATGAATACCCAGGAAGATTTCTACTTCAGTGAGTTGTTGAAGGCTATTGCCTGCTACTGGGATTGTGTAACTTCAGAGGAACATCTTTGAGATTGCTCTCCCTAGAAACAGCTGCATTGAGTTTTAACCCTTAACTTTTTTTGTTATTATTTTGCTGGTTTTATTATTAAGAGACATCTTTCTTGAAAGGGATACATAGTCAAGGCCCAGAACACAAACCCCAGACGTGAGTTTGCTTTCCTCTTTCACAATGTGATATTTGAGAAAATTAAGAAATAAGCCAATTTCACAGTTGCCAGTACATATCAGATCCAGAAATATTTACCTAAAACATGAAAACAATAAATAGCCTCCTTCACGTACCAGGAATGATACAGATGACCATGTGCTTTGTGTTTGGGATTTTCAGAACAATTACTGTTGGAGTGCCCTTGAAGTTTCCTCAAATATGCTAAGAATAGGATCTATCCTTGCACCTGGATCCTTCACTTACGTCTGAGTTATAACATGATAACAGCTAATGTTTATTGAATATTTAATGTGTGCCAGACACATGTGTTTTACATAGATAGCTTTATTTAATTCTTGCTTGAACATGCCAATTAATGTTGCTGAACATCTCTTTTTGTCATCTGTAAAGTATGGCATAATTTGCTTACTCCTCAGTGACAGTATGGAGATTAAATTAGGTAGAATGTGTAAAAATGTTTAAAAATGTAAAGCTCTAGGATTGTGGGTAGACTCTCATCATGAAACAGGAAATTTAACTGGCCCATTAAACAACATTCTTAATCATTAGAAGCATCCTAAAGCTGAACATTTAACTGACCCATTGTATTCCTCTGCCTGGTGACTAAAAGCAATTTTACAACTACACTTCATGCTTCCTTTCCAAAAATTATTTCTTTAGTGCTGTTGAAAATATACACAGCAGATTATACATCGATTGAATAATTTCTATATGTACAGAGACATTCATTACATTCTTCAAGTAGTACAACCAAGAATGTACTACTTCTTCCCCTCCTTTTCCAAATTGTTCCTCCCCCATTAACATAAAGTCACTGCCTCCTAAGCTCCTGACTTAACCTTATTAGCTGCAGTTGTCCT